ATACATTAGCATAACCACTACCACAGTCTAGATCTAGATTTCTTTTGTACAGAAAAGTTCCCTTGTGACTGTTATAGTCAATTCGCTGCCCTGGAAGCCACTGGTTTGCTTTCTGACACTTTAGTTTTGCTTTTTCTATAATTTCATACAAATTGAATCATACAGATGGCGTCTTTTGTGTCTGAATCCTTCCAGTTAGCTTAGTGCTATTGAAATTCATCTTTATTGTTGTGTATATTGGTAGTTTGTTCCTTTTTATTGCTGAGTAGAATTACATTGAATGGTTATATCCACTTACCACTTGATGGATATTGAGTTGTTTCCAGTTTGGGCCTATTACAAATAATGCTGCTAGGAACATTTGAGTAGGAGTCTTTTTCTGGACATATATTTTCATTTCTCTTGAGTAAATAACTAATAATAAAATTGCTAAGTCATATGTTAAGTGTATGTTTAACTTTATAAGAAATTGCCAAACTGTTTTCCACAGTGGCTATACTATTTTTGCGTTCCTATCAACAATGTAGGGGAGAGAGAGCCCCAGTGAACAGCACATCCCAGCCAGTATGGGTGTCTTTCATCATTTTAATTTTAGCCATTCCAGTGGGTGTGTAATGATAGTTCATTGTGGTTTTACTTTGCATTTGCCTGTTCACTAATGATGTTGATTATCTTTTAATGTACTGTTTGCCATCCTTATATCTTATTTGGTGGAGTATCTGTTCAGATTTCTTGCCCATTTTTTTAAAAAAAATTCTTCCTGAGTAGTTCGAGTTCTGTATATGCTGTGAATACAGGTGCTTTATCAAATACTTATTTTTCAAGAAATTCTCTGTGTGTAGTTACCCTTTTTATTTTATTAACAGTGCCTTTTGATGAAGTTCAGTTCAATTGTTTCTCTTTCATAGGTTGTGCTTTCTGTGTGTCCTATTTAAGACATCTTTGCCTAACCCAAAATCACTAAGGTGGTCTCCTATGCTTTCTCATGAAAGTTTTGTAGTTTTAGCCTTTATAGATAAAACTATGTTGAGTTAATTTTTGTATATGGTAAGGGTCAAGATACATATTTTTTTCTGTATGGATAGCTAGTAGTTCTAGCACCATTTGTTGAAGAAAATTAATCTTTTCCCATTGGATTACCTTGGCACCTTTACTGAAAATAAATTGACTACAAATGTGTGGGTCTGTTTCTGGACTGTCCTGTTCTGTTCATCAGTATGGCTGGCTCAGGCTAATATCACACTCTCTTGTGCGCTGTAGCTTTCAGGTAAGTCTTGAAATCTGGTAGGGTGTCTTCAGACTTTATTCTTTTCTTCAAAATGATTTTGGATAGTCTACATCCTCTGTCCATATAAATTGTAGAATCAGTTTGTCAGTTTCTACAAAAAAGCCTGATGGAATTTTGATTGACACTGTGTTGAATCTATTGATCAATTTTGGAAAAATTGCTCTAGTAATACTGAGTTTTTGATCCATGAACATGGTATATTTCTCTATTTATATAGGTCAGTAATTTTTCTCCACAGTGTTTTATGGTTGTTAGTGTTAAAGTCTTACATGTATTTTCTTAAATTTATCCCTAAGGGTTTCATACTTTTTCATTCTATTGTAAATGGTATTTTTAAATTTCACTTTGCAATTTTTTATTAACATACAGAAATACATTACAGTTTTGTATTTTATGCAGCTCGTATTATGCAGTCTTGCTAAACTAATTTATTAATTCTAATATATCTTTTTTAGGTTCTCTGGGACTTTTCTACCTAGACAATCTTGTTGTCTACAAATATACTTTTACTTCTCCATTTCCAATCTGTACGCCTTTATTTATTTTTCTCGCCTTACTGAACTGGCCAGGACCCCTAGTGCAATGTTGAGTAGAAGTGGCGAAACAGACATTCTTGCCTTGTTGATAAATTATGAAGTTAAATGTAGAAATCCGTTAAATGCTCATTATCAGATTGAGGACAGTGGTGTTTTTATTCCTGGTTACTGAGATGCTTTTTCTTCATCTGTTGAGATGATCATATAGTTTTTAATCCCTTATTCTGTTCATATGGTGAATTATATTCATTTTCAAATATTAAACTCTCTTGACACTTGGTCATGTAATTTTATCCTTTTTATACATTGCTTGATTCTATTTCTTAGTGTTTTGTTAAGGATTATTGTGCCTATTGTGAGTGATATTGGCTCCTAGTTTTCTTTTTATAAAAATTTGTGGATATACTGCTATTCGCCTCTGTCATGTATATCTTATGTGTACAATTCGGTGTCCTCACTTTTCCTAATGTTATCATGGTAGTCACAGACTCTTTCTATACCATCCTTCCCCTTACCCACATCAGCGTGTGGCCCCCAACTAGCCCAACTAGTGTTATTTTCTTATAATGTTTTTGTCTGGTATCAGGATAATGCTGGCTCTAAAAAATGAGTGGGAGCTGTTCTTTCCTCTTCTATTTCTGAAAGAGTTTGTATTGAATTGGCATTATTTCTTCTTAAATGTTTAGTAGAATTCACCAGTAATGTCATCTGGGCATGGAGTTTTAACCACAGCTTTAGTTCCTTTAACAGATACAGATCTGCTCAGGTCTATTTCTTTTTTAATGATCTTTGGTAATTTGTATGTTTTAAGGAGTTTGTGCCTTTCATCTAAGTTATCAAATTTATTGGCATAAAGTTGTTTATAATAGTCCCTTAATGCTTTTAATGTCTGCAGGATCTATAGTTATGTTCCTTCTCTTGTTCTTGATAGTAATTCTTTTTCCTGACCAGTTAAGCTGTATGTTTATCATTAATTTCATTGACTTGTCAAAGAACCATTGTTTAGGAGCACCAGTGCCACAGTGGTTATAGCATGTGGTACTTACACAGAGAACCAGCTTTTGAGTTTATTGTTTTTTTCCTTTGTATTTTATTTATTTTTGTTGTAATCTTTATTACTACCTTTCTTCTGCTTATGTTCAGTTTTATTTGCTCTTCCTTTTCTTATTTCTTAAGATGGAAGCTTTGATCATTGATTTGAGGCCTTTTTTCATCTCTAATATAAACATTTAATGCTATTTTATCTCTGAACACTGCTTTACCTGAATCTCTGAAATTTTAGTATGTTGTGTTTTTATTTTCATTCAGGACAAACTATTGTCTAATTTCTCTTTTGTTACCTTCTTTGACCCATGAGTTATATAGAAATATGTTGTCTTAATTTCCTAATATTTAGGGATTTTTTCCAGATATTTTTCTTTTCTTGATTTCTAGTTAAATCCCATTGCAGCCAGAGAATGGTCTTTGTATGTTTTAATTTATTGAGGCTTGTGTAATGGCTCAGAATTTGGTCTCTCTTGGTGAATTTTTTTGTGTGTCCTTGGAAAGAAGGTATGTTCTGCTGTTGAGTACTGTAAATTTAAATTAGGTCACATTGATTGTTATCTTAGTTTCCTACTGCTGTTATAACAAAAATACTGCAAGTGAGAACCTCTAAAGAACAAAATTTATTTTCTCACAGTTCAAGACTCTACAAGTCTGAATTCAGGACACCAGCTATAGGAGAAGGCTCTTTGTCTGTTGACTCTGGGGAAAGACCCTTGTCTCTTTCAGCTTTTGTGGCCCCAGTATTCCTCAGTTCTTTGGTCTGTTTTTCCCCTCGTTTGTGCTTGCTTCTGTGTCTAATCTGCTTTTATATATATGTTTAGGACACATCCTGCAGAGATACAGCCTTATTAACATGACAAAGAAAAACCCTATTTCCACATAGGCTTACATCCACAGGTATAGGGGGATGAAATTTAATTCATAATAGTTGACAATGTTGATCTGCCTTAACTTATATCTTAACTGATTTCCCATTTATTTGATTGGCATATGAATTAAAAAAAAAAAAAAAAGCAACATCCAACTACAGTGAAACCTGTGAGAGCCGGACCTCAACAGGACAGCCTTGTTTTTTCGGTGTCTCATAAGTTTTCTGCCTTTGACAGGGTCCATTCTTACCTCTCTCTCATCACTTGTTTTAGTGGGAAATACTTGAGTTTTCCTTTTCTGACCGGTTTCCCTTTTACACAAGTTCCAGCTTTTGCATGTTTTATTCCATGTGCTGGTTACAAGAGACCCACTTGAAATATAAAGACACTGATAAGTTGAAAGTAAAAGAAGGTGGAAAATATGCACACAGTAATCCACACAAAGCTAGAATGTTGTTGTTGTTTTTGTTGTTATGTGTCGTCGAGTCGGCCCCGACTCATAGCGACCCCTCCTTGGGTTTCCGAGGCAGTATCACTACGGAAGTAGGATTGCCCAACCTTCCTTCCGAGGAATGGCTGGTGAGTTTGAACCGCCAGCCTTCTGGTTAGCAGTCAAATGCCTTAGGCACTATGCTACCAGAGCTCCCAAAGCTAGAATAGCTACCCTGATATCAGACAAAGTCCATTTCAAAGGAAAGTACATTTCTCTAGTCCATAGAACCATGGCTGGTCTGTGGTAGACAGTTCATAAGACTTGTTTATTAAATGAATGAATAAATACTGGAAAAAAAAGGGAAAGTACATTTCATAATAAAAGGATCAATTCATCAAGAGGACAGAAGACTCCTAAGTGTGTAAGCACTAATAAAAGAACTTCACAGTTATAGCTGGACATTTGAACAGCTCTCTCTTTGTAGTTATTAAATAGCTGATGGTCCTTTTCAATGAATTTGTAGTAGAACTATCTACTCTGTTATGTGTAGCTTTCTCTAGCGTATCTTGATGCTTGGGTTTAGATAAGAAGCAAGTCAATAATTTGCTTTATCAGAGTTGACATTTTGGTAGTTGTGAAAAGTTAGAGGAAAAAAGAAGTCTGAGGTATTGGAAAGAATGTTATCAAATGCTGACAATGTGAACTCTAAGCTGAATGATGAGGGAATTCAAGAAAAGCTAAGGTCCTGGGAGGTAGAAATTTGTAGTTGAAACAGTGAATGAGCAAATGAGAAATTGAGGCTGGGATGCTAGTAATTGTGGAAGTGGAGCAGTTGTCGGTGGTGCTAAGACCTTAAGAGAAAGCTAGATGGATAGAGAAGGAGATTCTGGGAAGATCAAGGACTGAAAGGCTGTCCTCAGGAGGAGACTTACTGGTAAGGAAGACTACCAGCTGGCTGCCAGTCTTGGGAGAATGAGAGCCACTTTGGCCAGTCAGTGCCTGACAGGTGCTTTCTAATCAGTGGTTGTTGTTGATTCTTCATAGGAAGCAGTGACAGCAGTATATACTTTGCTAGTAGTGATTACTGTTCTGAAATCTCCCAAAATGGACAGACATCTCAGGATGCACAGGAGAAAGAAACATCTCCCTGTTCTGCCCAAGAGTCCATCTGGCGAATGATAGAACAGACACCTGAGTGCATTCTAATGACATATCAGGTACCTGAGAGGTAAGGAGGCGCTTTAGAAGACTCATCTTTATGCAGAACTCTTTACAGATTCTTAAGTGATTTATAATGCAAAATGATTTTTTTTAATACATCTTATTGAAATCTTAATTTATGTACAATGAAATACACAAAACTAAAGTAACATGGGTCAGTGCAATGCAAAATGATTTTTAAATGTTTTATGCATACACTTAGAAAATATATTTTAAAATTTGTTTATTTGGAGTCAAATGAAGAACGATATTTTTACAATAAGGATTATAATGATAGTACCACAATGTTAAGATCAAGACTAAGCAAGCATGTTACGTGTCGTGAGACAGGAAAACAAACAAAGACAGTCCTCTGCAAGATGGGTCACAAGATGGGTTATTCGACTCTAGGTTAGTTGATTTGTTTTTCCTCACTCTAAAGGAATAGAAGAGCTGAGGGGAACTGTTTCTTCTATATACCTCATTAAAACACTATTCAGGTCTTTTCTACCAAGAAATAAAGATCAAACTTTACCAACTTGACAAATAAATGATTCAGTTTTGTTTCTTTTTTAATGTCTGTGTTATATATTTACATATATAAGGTATATTATTTATAAATGAAAAAGACTTGTGCTGTCCTTAGATGACAGCATAAGATCCCTGTACCTTGTCCAGGACTGTTAAGGTTTGTTTGTTGGTTGGTTTGTTTTCAGAGTTAAAGAAGTTGTATTAAAAGAAGACCTAGAAAAGCTGGAGAGTATGAGACAGGGGCAACCCCAGTTTTCCCGTGGACAGAGGGAGGAGCTGGCCAAGGTGCATTCTTGGATTCAGAACCAGACCATCCCTCAAGAAATAGCCATCCAAGTAAGCACTGCAGTAAGGGTTCCCATATACTGATGTATTTTTGTGCCAGCTACTGTTTTAGGCACTTAATAAGCCTTGCACAACCCCTCTGATAATTTTATCCTCGCAGTTACCTTGGTGGTAGGTGTTATCCCTTATTTACAGAGAAGCAACAAAGTAAACAACATTAAAGTTTAGTAACATTAAACAATTTGCGTAAGGTCCCACTGTTCATTGGGTTTTGAATACAGGTCTTTTTGACTTTTTCTGTTACTGGTTGGCATGCATATTTGAAAAGACTTAAAACACAAGATTTACACCAGAGTAGTGTTTACACCTTGCAGGAGCTTCCATGGGACCAAGTGGTCATTTGCTATTATGAGGTCTTCTCAATGAGATTGTCTGTGAATGGGCCTGAACGGTGATGCTTTGATGGACCAGTGGTCCAGACAGACAGTTGTGGTAGCAACTGTAATGATGATCTTATTTCTACACATATCAAGATGGAGGATGAGGCACAACATTAAAAATCAAAATGAGAGAATAAAATTAGGAGTTCAAAAAGTGTGATATCAAGACTTAGGAAGTAAACAAGTCATTGGAGTCTACTACACCCCCATTTTTAAAGAAAAGAAGGAATTCTTGCCATTTCAGAATGGCAACATGTGGTCTTGTCAAAAAGCAGGAGCTAGGATGGTCACTATAAATGTCTTCATTTTTAAAATGTTTTTCCTGTTTTTGAGTAAAAGAGTATATGGGGAATGAGCCCCCAAAAGTATGTCAGTAATTGCTGTCATTTACCATCCAGTAACCAATAAACCAAAAATCCAGCCCACTGACATCAAGTGGATTCTGACTCTTAGCAACCTTGTAAGACAAGAGTAGAACTGCCCCATAGAGTTTCCTAGGCTATAAATCTTTATGAAAACAGACTGCCTCATCTCTTCTGCAGAGCGGCTGGTGAGTTCAGACCTTTCAGTTAAGCAGCCAGATGCTCTAACCACTGTGCTACCAGAGCTCCTCCGATCATAAATAATGAACTGTAGTGGATGTGCTTATCTGTGAACCAAATCAGTGGTGGAAGTAGAAATATGTTGCTTGGTCAGTATTTCACTGGTTTTAAAACTCTTTGGATGACACTAACATCAAATAACCTGCCTGCTTTTACTCTTTTCTGAAGGGCTGTGTTACCTGTGAAAACAAAGACTCAGTTGGTGAAGCTTCAGAATGCTGTGACTAGGGTCCAGCTGAAGATAACAGTTGAGTGACTATGAAGACATGCCTTCACACCCTTCCCAGGACATACTGGACACTTGGACCTATGTGTGTCACTTTAAACCCTTGACTCTTTAAACGACCATGAAGTTATCATTGAATGTTAAGGTTTTTTCTTCTCTATTTTTTAATAGACACCATTTTCCTGACACAGAATTGCACCTAGAATCTTTTACTTCTCTTTGTTCCTGATGCGTTAAGCTGTCAATTAAACTTTTTTTTCTAGTTTAGCTGTCTTCTAGAGAGATTGGATGGCCTCTAACGAGGTATGTACAGAGCAAAACTTTATTTCAAGTGTCATCCAAAATAAATCATGATTAGAAGTACAGCTAGAATGAGCCCAAAGCTTCAGCCTCATTTATTTTGTGTTCTATTGTTACATAAACAGTTTTTCCCTGTGAGAGCCCTTGAAGAAATCCCACCCATGGGCTAGATAGTTTTCATAGTGGTTTCCGTAAGTTTAGTTCATTCATTTAGGTTTTGCACAGTTTGGTGCTTTCCTTGAATATTAAGGCAACACTCCAGTTTTCTCTTCCCACACAGCACAAGTCACTTTAATATTCACCAATACGCAAATATATTGCTCATTAGTATAGCTGGGAATACCTAGATTTTAGGCAGATGTCTTACCCTTTGATTTCCTACCTTCTGCTGAAAGTCTCATCTTAAAAAACTGAGGAGCACTTACCCTTTGAGTTTAAATTAATATTTGCGTGCCTAACGTTAAAATACCTTGTCTCAACAAATGATATTCCTTTCTCCTTTTCAGTGTTTTTGTTTGTAAATTGATGATTGTAACAAGTTTCAAAAGTTATGTAAAAGTAGGCATTGTTCTTACGTGCTTATGTTTTTACATGCTCAGTCCTACCAAAACCAACTAACATTACCTTTCTTTCCAACTATTTTACACACAAGAGTTGTCTCATCGAGGGCTGACTGACGGGCTTCCTGTCTGCCCAGTAAGCAAGGATGAGTGCTGTGAAGGGCCTGCATGGTGAGAAGGCCATCAAGGCACCTTAAGAGCTTTTGACCCTAGCCTGCAAGTCTACATCTTCCATGGTCACGTGGTCAGTTCTTTCTATGCCCTTTTTGTTATCTATCAAGAAGTGAGTGTGATTATTTCCTTGATAAGTTAGCTCTTTACTGGTGCTCTTCAGAGAAGCCTGGAATTCCTTCTCAAACTTAGAACAGTATACGAAAGGCACACTGGTCTGATCAGAAGACAAAAATGGAAGGAAATGGAGGTTGCAGCAACCTTTTATCTTTTATATAACATGTAAGAAACTGATTTTGTTTTCTTTTTTTTTTTTTAATTATTATTACTTTTTTAGGAAAATGCTTCTTTGTCCTTAGAAGTTTTATAGCTTTATGTAAATGCATCCTGATAATGATGGGGAGAATGGACCTTTGTATCCAGGATGACTGCTGGACTCTGATCCCCCATCCCTGGAGCTCAGGCCTCCTTTTAAAGTAGCATTTTCCTGGATGATAATTTTATCTTAAAAGTTTCCAACCATTTTCAAATGCTGCCTTTTGACATTTCTTGGAATTTTCTAATATTAAGCAGTCCCATGCAAATATCCTTGTTTTGTGATTACAGGATGCTCGTATTCTATGCTCTCTTCATAGTTCAATGATTTCTGAAGCATTGTCATGTTGGTCAAGTTGTGTGGGTTTTTTCTGATCTTGGTGAAAAATCAGATTTTAAAAATTCAACCAGCCTGGATATTGTCTGTCAGTACATTGTGACTTTTTTATGCTAATGTTGTTGTTGTTGTTGTTGTTGTTTGCTGTCGAGTCGGCCCCGACTCATAGCGACCCCTCCTTGGGTTTCCGAGGCAGTATCACTACGGAAGTAGGATTGCCCACTAATACAGTTTTTTATTTGTATGAATCAGAAATAGCACATGCAGCTGCCAGAGGCTCGCCTGCACTCATGTGTGCATATTGTAAACCTCTGTTCTCCAGTCTTCCTAGCCTTTCCTGTCCGTTGTTTCTGGAGACTCGTTTCATCTAAATGTGCTCGTTTCTTTGCCTTAGCACACGTTAGGGAATATACATTACACTAGGTTTGACTTGAAGCTGGTGCTTGTTGTAGGCAGACCTGTGAAGGCATTTACACACTCTCACCTTTGGACAAGCAGGTTAGAGCTAGGATCCCTGCGGTGTTACTGCTGCTGGGAAAGAAGGGCGGGAACAGGGAGGGCAGCAGTGGCGGCTCCACCCCCACGGGGGCCTCACCCCGGTTCTCCTTCGTTGTTCATCTTTAACTTTTATATTCATGATCACAGAAATTGATAATAAAAAATGTACATTAGAGCCTTCAGTGTTTACAGAAATGTTACCCAGAAAGCTGTAATTTCTTCAGTAGGTAGTCAGGGTTTATGAAAAATTGTTCTATGAATGAGGTAGTTTTACAGTTAAGTGAAACTTCCGTATAATTCCCAAGGAAAATTTAATCCAAATTGAAATTTTGTTCAACTGAATTTATAAATAACTGTGTGAATTTACTTGTTTTTCATCATTGTTAATATTTTAATTGGGTATCTTTTTTAAGGAAAAAACAGTAAATAAACTGTGTACATGTTAAGCTTGAGAAATTTTCTTTCACTTTGGCACCAACCCTGTGCCCTGAATGTGTACTTTATAACACTTAGAAATATCTATTACGATATTAAAGGAGTTCTGCTGGCACAGACGGTTAACAGCTTGGCTGCCAACTGAAAAGCTGGCGGTTTGAGCCTCCCCAATGGCTCCCTGGGAGAAAGACCTGCCAGTCTGCTTCTGTAAAGACTGTAGCCAAGAAAGCTCCATGGGACGGTCAAATGGGGTTGCTGTGAGTCAGAATCGGCTTAATGGCACCTGAAAACACCAACATGAGATGTTAAAAGGTCCTCCTATTCAATTACTAGTGGTCTTTTCAGCAACACTCTTTGTTGTCAGTTGTGTCTAAGCACCTACTGTGTATAAGACTCGGGCATTTTCAGATTCATTTGTCTTATTTAAGCCTCACTTCAGCACTCTGAAGAAGGTGTGTGGGTCCTGAATATATGTACATATTTTAATGTTTATGAATTTTAATACTAAATTTCTAAAATTTAGTTGGCAAAATTACTCTTACAGATACTGTAGGGTGAAGGTGTGTTTCACGAAGTCTGATTGCAAATGGTGGCATCAAGATGTAGAAATTAAAATTTGGAACAAGATCCTGAAGCCAGTGGGGCTTTTAAAATTTTACACTTTCAAGTCATTTGCACCACTCTGTTACAAAACAACTAGTAACCACAGCAAGAAGAGCTCAGTATTTATTGAGTGTTTACTACTCAGAAAGGAGCTCTGGTGGCATAGTGGATAAGGCACTTAACCAGAAGGTCAGTGGTTCAAATCCCCCAGCCACCCTGCAGAAGGAAGATGGGGCTGTCTACTTCCATAAAGATTTATAGCCTTGGAAGCCCAATGGGGGTCCTTATGAATTGGAATGGGTACCGTTCCAAATGCTCCTCAAGATATCTCAGTTAATGTGTACACCCACCTAGTGAAATAAGCATTGTTATTATCCATGTTACAGAGAAAGAAAATGGACAGAGGCCAAGGGAGCTGAGTCACCTGGTCAAGGACTCACAGCTGGCGTGTGTTGGGAGTAGGGATGCAAACCTGGTGATCTGACTTCAGAACCCCTACCCTTAAGAACAGTTGCCTCATATCACTCACTACAACATGTGAGGGGTTTTAGAATTACACTATAGTGGATACCTCTTTCCAGCTCTTTCTGGCATCATAAACATAAAATAGTCTTGTGTTCTGTTTTAGACAGCTCGTACTAGTTTAATGTCGGGAGCTCTGGTGGCGTAGTGCCTAAGGCTCTTGACTGTTAACCAGAAGGCTTCATACCCACCAGCCACTCCTTGGAAGGAAGGTTGGGCAATCTACTTCCATAGTGATAACTGCCTCGGAAACTCAAGGAGGGGTCGCTATGAGTGGGGCCGACCCGACGGCACATAACAACAACAGTTTAATGTCAACATTAGGAGAGGTTCCACAGCATTATCATAGCTAGACTTCATGCCCACATGTTTGAGATTACACATCCATTCTGTGAGCTTAAAACATTTTTCTCTGTAAATTTGTGCTTGGTGTCTTAAATAAGGAAAGCCTGTACTCTCTAAGAGACTTGTGGTGTTTGTTAACAAGACCACTACAGACTTGACATCGCTCTGACAGAGCCCAAGTTGGGAGGCTCAGATTTCTCGTCATTAAAAATTTAACTCCACTGTACGCATGGTTGTATGCTGGGAGCGACACACAGCTCTGAGGAGCTCACAGTATTTATTCCGTATGTTTACAAACCGATTTGTGTAGATGCACTAATAGAAAACAAATTAATACACACACACACACATATATTTGTTCTTTTTTTAAATTGATAAACCAGTCTATTTCTTCCATTCCACAGTCTTAAATCCCTGCTCAGCTTTCTTCTCTCCTCTTCCTCTCTTTCTGTCTATTCTCTCTCTTAAACAGGTGAAAAAAAGGAATTTTTTTTTCCCCTAGCATAAGTGGCTGTGATTGAACAAGTGTCAGTGTTAAAGAATTAAAGTTATCCGGGGTTCAGCTAAGAGAGAGGGGGTCTGAACATGTGAGCCCTCTGGCAGGAGGACTTGCTTCTGTTTGTTCATCAGCCTTACTCTTAATCCTTTCTTTTTCTATTACCTGAGGATTAATTGAAGGAAAGTAGAACTGTTGATTTTCGGGATAGAAATAAAATAACCACTCACATGGTATTTGCAAAACATAGAAGATTTATTTTCTAAATAATGATGAACAGGATATGATTTGCCTAGTTTTTCTTTTATGCTGTTTTTAAATCAAGCATTTTTAACTTCTTAAGATGAATGTTTCTAGTGAACTAACAGGAACTCATTTCATTTCACACACAGTATTTCCAGAAGCATTCAGAGGGCGTCCCTTGTTTGTTATACTGTTTCCTGGTTCTGGCCAAAAGGTGACTCAGTAAAACCTGGGGGTCCCGTCCAGAGAAAGCCTGAAACCAAAACAAAAACGAGATAAGTTCATGAATGAAGAGTCCTACACGAGAAAGGAATCATAAGACGTAACCAGTTGCTGTCCATGAGTTGATGCCAACTCATGGCAAGCCCATGTGTGTCAGTAGAACTGTGTTCCATAGGGTTTTCAGTGGCTGATTTTTTGGAAGTCGATTGCCAGGCCTTTTCTTCCAAGGTGCGTCTGATGAATTTGAATGGCTTGTAAAAACTAGTATACCCACAAGACCTTTTAGGTTTTTTTGTTTTTTGAGGGTTGATAATGGTCAAATACAAGTTTTTCTTTAAGCATTTAAAGTCCTTCATTAATTAAACAAGGATACCTGGTGGCAACAGTGATTAAGTGCTTGGCTGCTGAGAGGTTAATAACCCACCAGCCACTCCACAGGAAAAAGGTGTCAAACCAAACTAAATACACTGCTGTTGAGTCGGATCTGACTCATAGTGGCCCCTCCTTTCCAGCAGTAGCGTATGCCTAAGGCACTTGACTGCTGATCAGAAGGCTGGTGGTTCAAACCCACCAACCACTCCTCAGATGGAAGGTTGGGCATTCTACTTCTGTAGTGAAACCCAAGGCGGCGTTGCTATGAGTCGGGTCCAACTCAATGGCAAAATAAACAACAACATCACCTGTGGAAGTAAATAGCCCAATCTTCCTTCCCAGGAGTGGCTGGTGGGTAGCAGTCTGCATTTATAGTCTAGGAATCATAATGGTGCAGTTCTCCTCTGTCCTATAGGGTTGCTATTAGTTGGAATCAATGGGTTATTAATTGTACAGAAATACCTGGGTGATGCAAATGGTTAGTTCAGTGGCTGCTAAATGAAAGGTTGGAGATCCAGGTCCACCAACGGGGACCTTGGAGGAAAGGTCTGGTGGTCTGCTTCCAAAGCTCAGCCAGTGAAGCCCGGGTGAGCATGGTCCTGCTCTGACCCACGTGGGCTTGCCAGGTGTCAGGGTCAACAGCAGCTATTAGGTTTTGAGGGCTTTTTTTTTTATTCATTCTATGCCATTTCAAGCTTTTTGATTTCATCATTCATTGTTCCCCATTACAGTTTTTCCACTACATCCCAAGTGATTTTCTTGATATTCTGTTCCCTGCTGCACATATGGTATCTCATTGTTGACAGCGTGCCCTTCTCCCATTTGTGTGTCCTGTTGCAGTGCTTTCCTAACTTTCATGTGTGTGTGAACCACCAGGGGATCTTGGTAAAATGCAGAGTTTGATGCAGAAGGTCCTAGATGGGGTCTGAGAGTCTGCTTTCTCACACGCTTTCCAGCAGTACCAATGCTGCTGGTCAGGGGGACAGATGAATAATGAAACAGCACAAATGGGGTACAAACGTGAAAACAGAGGTCTCCTCTAATTTTTTATTCTCTTACAGCTTGTTATAATGATTTACACAAGATAAGCACTGGGTAAACTGCTGCTTGATTGAGATTTTACATGAATCAAAATTTGGAAAAATTAATGCCTTGAAATAACACAGATTGACCCATTATTTTAAGGTATGATTTCCACCAAGCACATGCCTCCAGTTCATGCCAAGAATACTCCTGCCAAGAACACTCTTTAGTTCGTGGATTTAGAATCAGTCCTTTTAAATCAGGTATAGAATGTTCAACTTTTTTAACCTAATTTTCATGAACTGAGTCACTTACATTTCTCACACTTCCTCTTGAGTTGATAGTGCTGGTGCTGGTGGTAGGGCCTGGAAAACAAAATTTTTAAAGCTGATTCATCATCCAGTTTATTGTTTGTATTTTATGTTGGTCTCATTTAAAACATACAAAGTGGAATATTACTAAATTATGTCTAGGGTCTGGTCTTCCTTTTTTTCACACTCTAGTTATATTGATTTTCATGTGGGTAGGCATCCTTGTTCTTCTCTATGGAATTCATAAAAGGTGCAACATCTTTCTCATTCAGTTAGCACTTCAGTAGTTTATCAAAAATATTTTATAACAGATGAATGCTTTTCCATTAAAATGCTGTTTTGTTTCAGAAGCCTCTGAGCATTTGCATCCGTGTTTGGAAGAATGCAGTCACGGAGAAAATAGTACCAGCTGACACTGTATTCACTACTTTCTGTGTGACTCTGCTGAGCGTTTTACTTGCATTTTCTCATTTACTCTTCACAGTAACCCTCTGAGGTAGGTGCTTTTTATCATTCCTGTTTACTGATCAAGAAACTGAAGTATAGAAAGATTATTTACTTCAGACATTAGTGAGAAACCAGGATTTAAAACTGTACTCTTTAGAAACTGGGATAATAATCACCCCCAAAATAAAAATCCTTACAGGAAAAAAAAATGCTGAGATGCCAGGTAAAGCAGGACATTCACAAGAATCGCTGAGAAAAGAAAGAAGACAGTTGCAGAGGGAGCCGTTAATCCAGGAGGGGAGAGCTGGATAATTAATTTATATAGTTCATCTTTATCTTCCAAGATAGGGTTTTACCTCATCTGTTGTTGTTATGTGCCATCGAGTCGGCCCTGACTCATAGCGACCCCTCCTTGAGTTTCCAAGGCAGTATCACTACAGAAGTAGATTGCCCGACCTTGTTTCCAAGGAGTGGCTGGTGGGTTTGAACCACCAACCTTCTGGTTAGCAGTCAAGTGCCTTAGGCACTATGCTACCAGATGGAAATAAGGAGTTCTGGTGGTGTAGTGGTTAAGGCACTTGACTGCTAACCAAAAGGTGAGTGGTTTGAACCAACCAGCTGCTCCAAGGAAGAAAGATGAGGCAGTCTGTTCCATAAAGATTTATAGCCATGGAAACCAGATGGGTGTCACTGTGAGTTGGAATTGACTCAGGGGCAGTGAGTTTGGTTTTTCAGCTTAGTAGATGGGAATAGAGGGTAAATTGAACAACAATAAAATCAGACAACCTACAAACCCAGGAATCAACTTACCTGCTTTCTGAAGATCATGAGTATTCTCTGCACTCAGCGTTTCTGGCGACATCTGTAGAGGGGAGGCTCTCTCCAGCGCATCCAAACTAAAGCTTGCATCTTCATCAGCTGCTACACGGAGTAATGACATACTAGTGACCCACCCCATTCTTCAAGTCGGTATTTCTGGTCCCTGTTGTCTTTGGGGGTGGGGTACTGAGCACTGTGGCAATACTAGATAAACTTCAAATGCTAAATTCATGATTTGTCAGTGCAATTTCAGCAGCAGGTGGGAATGTGACAGGCCAGTGTACAAGCCAGTGAAATAGGAAGTTGGGAGAATGGAGCTTTATTGCCTATGAGGCCTCGCCAAGCCACATAACTGCCGTGACTACGGGGGCAGCCTGCGCCACAGCTTCTCTATAACCGTTTCCACTTGACAACTCTGATCCTTCCTCATTTTACTGACTGCTGCCTGTTGCCTTTTGCTCTTAGATATTTGGGTGGTGAAATTGGAGTGAGAGCATGCATAAAGGAGCGGTTTTCTGAAAGATAAGATTGTTTATGTTCTTCCTGTAAAATAAATGGGGTGGTATCACATCTTACTGAACTTTAAGATAAAATATTACTATTATACTCAGAAAAGCATATTAAAATCATCTTTAAGGGACTTAGTAATACTTTCAGTGTGCAGTTTAGCTACATGGCATAAATGGCATATGTAAGCATGTGTAAGGTTTTTGATAAACATGTATAAAGTGTATGTTAAGTATTTGTAAGATGTATGTTAAACATGTATAAAGTATGTTAAATGCATGTATGGTATATGGTAAGTATGTGAAGTATCTGGTAATTGCATGTAACCCATTGCCATTGAGTTGATTCCAACTCATAGAGACCATAGGACAGCCCCATAGCTAGAAACCATACGGTTTCCAAGGCTGTAAATCTTTACAGAAGCAGACTGCCACATCTTTCCAACCACTGATCTTTTGATCAGCAGCTGAGAGGTTAACCATTGCACCACCAGGGCTCCTTAAGTGCATGCAAGGTATATGGTATATTTCAGGCGTATGGTAAGTGTGGACTTGGCACCATGATAGGTCTCTTGGACAGTTACTATGTTAGGGTTAGATGGGTTACTCTGTTAAGAGTTAGGATGTTAGGCCACATTGCAATACTAGCATGCCACAGACTTATAAAACTTAGCTACAATCTTGACTGAAAGACAGTGGGCAAACCATTATAAAGGCATCTAAGTACACTCACAGTATTTCTGAAGAATGTTAATGAAAATCTATAAAATTTGACCATATATGAATGTTATGTCATGAAGAATCATTTATGGAGAAATAAATAAATGAGAGAAGAATTTTGGCAAAAATTCTAAGGTAAGCTGCCACCTGTGTTAGAATTTGAGTGAGATAGCCACATCATCTAAGCTTCTTTTATTTAATCATAATGACATGCAAGTTTTTAAAGATGGCAGGAATATCCAAATATTCACTCTTGATTTCCTCTTGTGCTTTTCACTGTTCCTTTTTAAATAGCAGAGATTCTGTAAAGTTAATGCTTGTTTTTGGCCATTAATTTAGCTGCCAGTTATGAGCTCAGTGACTTTGGAAGTTGATTGATGAGTGGGAATGATGAACAGTGCTTAAAATGACTAGAAAGCCTGCCTGGGAGAAGTTGTTCAAGACTAGAAATGATTAAATCAATGGCTTACAAGAGTTTTTCTCTCTTTACTTCAAAAAGAAGTCTAAAATTAAAGATAAGATAAAACCCCAGTTAAGTTTTTTTTTATTTTTCATGAAACCTGATGCCCAAACACCAACTTGTTCATTTCTTAAACTAAATTTAAGAGATAATGGCAAAATAAGTGTCAACTTGGCTGATAAACTTTTTGAAAAATCCAGTTTAGACTTGGACTAAATGACACATGTATCAAAAAGAAAAGATCAGTGTGCTTGGAAATCTGTGACATCCCTAGCTCTAGCTTTTCACTTTTTACTACATATTTTGTTTCATATACCATATCAGCTGGTTGCTCATTATCTTAAAATAAATATATTGTTAATCTACAGTAGGAACAACTAACTGATCCTACACTTAATCAGTTCATTTTAAATAAACAGTAAAAGTAATGCTATTTAAATCTAGTACAGTTTTTAAAAAACACTTTTAAAAGTGGACCAAAACAAAAATTTGAATTATAGAGATGACATAAAATAACCAGTTATCCTCTTGCTTTTACATGTTAGTAGGAAAAACACTGCACCCATTACTGAATCTCAAATGTGCAGTGAGGATCCTGTAATAACTCTTTCCATAGCTGGAATTATAAATATACTAAGACTCTTTTAGGCAAGAATCTCCATTCATTTTTTTTTCTTGTTGCAAAAATATGCGTAACACAATACTTGCCACTTAAGAATCCCCATTCTTATCTCTTACCCTGGAAGTCACCCTTGAAGATTCTTTTGAGACTAACCTGAAGGAAAAAAGTCATCTTACCTGAGTGCCCAGGGGACACCTCCCTGGAGTCAGTGACAGGAAGAGATAAGAGAGGATTTAAGAATCCTATGAAAAGCAAGCAGGACGAGACTAGCTTATACATGGCTGATGCAAGATGTAAGTCTTCCCCCTTGGCTTCTGTTGTCCAGAACTTCCAACTCGCTCCTTCTCATTCTGAGCTCACCGATTATATATTATCCTGTGACCTCATAAATATCATCTCCCTCAAAAAAAAAAATAAAATTTATTGGCTATGGAGGCTAAAAGGCAATCACTTTGCATTGATGTAATTTTTTCAAGGTAACAATTCACAGACAATAAATTTACTGTCTTGTTGCCTGGAGTACAAAGTTGGTATTACATAAAGAACAGTTTATAAATCTGGCATAAAGAGTAACTTCCAGCCATAAATCATGAGTTAAAGGAAGGGTCGGACATTCGTTGAAGTGGCCGAGGCAGTGAGACATGGATTTATGAGGCTTCACAGAATGGAAGTGGACTGTGACATGAAATGTATTGGGTTTTCTTTCTTTTTAATCTGTCATGAGGTGAATGGATGAGTTGGCATGTTGTGTTTGGGACTGCCATGCCAGAATTATTACAGTCTGGGGATTAAAACTTAAAACCAGTAATTTACTTTAAAATAGTGAAGAATACTTTATAATAGTGAAGTTCCAATGCATAGCACATATTCAGGCAGGCTCTGTGCATACACTTGACCTCAGGTAAATCTACAGTCACATGAGTCTTCTGAGGAAAGCAATAGTGCTAGCTGCCATCAAGTCAGCCCCTACTCATGGTGACGCCACGCACAATGGAACAAAATGCTGCACAGTCCTGCACCAGCCCTAGGATCAGTTGCAGACCAGACCATCATGATCTGTAGGGTTTTCACTGGCAGGTTTTCAGCAGTAGATCGCCAGGCCTTTCTTCCTAGTTTGTCATAGTTGGGAAGTGCTGCTGAAACACACTCAGGATCTCAGCAGCACGCAGGCCTCCACTGACAGGTGGTAGACATGCGTGAGCTGTATCGGCTGGGAATCAAACCCAGGTCTCCTGCGTAGAAGGTGAGAATTCTACCCCTGACCCACCAGCGCCTCATGAGAAAAGCAATAGCTTTCCTTGAAGTTGTAGATTATTCGTCTTGGAGGGGTGAAGAACCATTGCGTAGAAAACTTACTGTTAAATATTTCCAGAATTTGACTACTACTCACCACCTCCATTCTACCTGGCCTTTGTCAAGCTTGGATTATTGCAGTTGTCTCCTAAGGAGTGTCTTTGAGTCCATATTTTGCCCCACTGTAATCTAGTCTCCACACAGCAAAGTGATGCTTTCAGAACATAGATCATGTCAGTTCTTTGCTCAAGATCCTCTCTTGGTCTAAACTTGAAAGTTAAAACTATAAGATAGTTAAGAAAAATAAAAACAAAGCAATACAACTAGGTCTCTCATACACTGGATGGGAATGTAAAACATGCAACGTCTCTGGAAAACATTTGGAAACTTTCTTATAAATCTAAGCATACACTTAGCATGCACCCCAGAAATCCTAGTCCTGGGTATCTGCACAAGTGAAGTGAAAACGTGGCCACACAAAGACTCGTCACAAATGCTCAGAGTGGATTTATTTATAATGGTGAAAAACTGGAAACAACCCAGATGTCCAATAAGAGGTGAATGGATAAATCTATTGTGTATCAGAATTTAAAGGGACAGACTACTGATACAACATGGGTGAATCTCAAAAACTTTATGTTGAGAAAAATAAGGCAGACCCAGAAGAGTATGACCGCATGGAATTCTAGAATAGGCAAAATTAATTTCTTCCAACAAAAAACAGTTCAGTGGATGCCTGGGGCCTGTGATAGGAGGTGGAGGGAACTTTTGAATGTAATAAGAGTGTTCTAGATCTTAATGGTAGCATAGTGCCTAAGGCACTTGACTGCTAACCAGAAGGCTGGTGGTTCAAAGCCACTCCTCGGAAGGAAGATTGGGCAATCTACTTCTGTAGTGATACTGCCTCAGAAACCCAAGGAGGGGTCGCTATGAGTCAGGTCCAACTTGATGGTAAACAACAACAACAAAAGATCTTAATGGTGGGAGTGGTGGCATGAATGTATGTATTGGTCAAAATTAAGCAAACTGTACATTAAAAACAGGTACGTTTTATTGTGTTGAAATTATATCTGAGTGAAATTGATTTTACTCCCACTTCCTTTCCGACCTCTTCTAATTCTCCTCTCCCCTTTCACTCCACTCTGAACCACTTGCCGCTTTGTGAACATATCCCTGCCTCAGGGCCTTTGCACTAACTGAACCTCTGCCCAGAATGCTCTTTCCCCAGATATCTACATGGCCCTCTCTCTTACTTCAAGTATTTGCTAAAATATTTCCTTCTCCACAGGCTTTCCTAGACCATGCTATTTAAAAATTGCAACCAACCCACCCCACTCTTGCTGTGCTCAGCTTTTTTTTTTCCTGTCACACTTACCACCTTGTAAAACACATACTTTCTGTATTTATCACACATAGTAAGCACTCAATAAACATTTGTTGAAATAGTGAATAGGGTACCAAGCATACAGCAGACCCTGGTTAGGAAAGAGCAGTCATTAAAAGAAAAGCCACTGCTTTCATGGAATTTTCTAACTGGAGGAGACAGCAAAATAAATGGCAGTAAAAATTGCTATGAGGAATCAGAGTAAGGAGGTATTGTGGTGGGTGGGTGTTTTGTCAGGCGTCATCAAGTCAGTTCCAATTCATAGCAACCCATGTACAATAGAACAAACCACTGCTTGGTCCTGCACCATCCTTGTAATCATTTTTATGTGTGAGCCCATTGTGGCAGCCACTTTCTCAACCCATCTTGTTAAGGGTCTTCCTCTTTTTCACTGAGCTTATAAGCATGATGTCCTTCCCAAGGGGAAGTGTTATTTCAGATAGGGCCTTCAGGGGGTGCCTCTGGGGAGGTGATATTTGAGCCAAGACCCTCACGAAGTGGGGAAACAATACATTCCAGGTCAGTGAAATCGAGGGCCGGTGGCCTGTGAAGTAGGAAAAGAACTAAGTCCCCCCGAAGTCAAAGGAAGAAGTGACAACAGAGCAACTGGCTCGTCCCATCTGCTGACAGGTAGAGAACATATCCAAGACTGGACCAGTGGATTTGGGAAGGTGGACCTCACTGTAACCTTGATAAGGCAATGCCAGTGGAGTGGAGTCATACACTCACATGTGTGGTGGTAGTTATGGGAGTCCTCTTAAGCTTCATTAACTCAGTTTAGTGCTTTTCAGCACCTCCTCTGCCAGCCATAGGTCCCTGAGGGGCGCAAAGCATTTGCACTCTTCCTGCTACCTGAAAGGTTGATGGTTCATATATGCCCAGCAGAAACGCAGAATGGCCTGACAGTCTGCTTCCAAAAGGTCACTGCCATTGAAAACTCTATGCTCAAGTTCTACTCTGTCTTGGGGACACCATGAGTTGGAATTGACTCATGGCAATGTTCCCCACCCCCGGATTTCTCTGTGTCAGCTCTGCTAGGAGGACAGAGAACATGACATTCAAATGGGGGCTACAGAAACCCACTTTGATCCAGCTTCAGAAAAAAAGTCTATTGGAAAGACACCGAATGGTTTCCAGAATCCAAGTAAATGTGGAATAGCAGGAACTAGAATCCCACTGGGAATTCTCTGTCTCTAGTTCCATGGTTTCTTTCCTTGCTGTCTCGCTATCTGCAAAAACAGCAAGGAGGCCACATGTTCTGACCTCCTCTAATCCCACAAGAGGAAGACAGGATTACCAGCAGTAACCCAAGGCCTATTCCTGCCAGGCCAGACATGCTGCCTCCCTCCAGCCCTTTTACCAACCGTTCCTCTCAAAACACCCACCACCTCTCTCCTGGGTTCGATAATTCACTGCAGT